GCGACACTGTCTTGAATCGGTGACTCAGGACTTAAGCGTATAATCAGCCCGACAAACATGCCTATATGCATCCATCAGCCTTTGTTATTTAACCGCAAGGGCACCGCATCGCGGCCCATCCGCCTTCGATGATGGGACAAAACACACCCGCGAAGATGGACAGGACTGTTTCATGGACCGCCTGGATCTTTTTCTGTTGTAGTATGTAACTGGTGAAGAGCGCGAACATCAAGAGCATGATCAAGATGAAGAGTGCCCAGGAGCTGAAGAACTCCTTGGTGCCGGCCTCGGGAGCATCGGCTGGAGAGTAGGCATGTCAGTTTCAAGAGCTGCGAGATACAGTGTATGGCCCTTGTGAGCAGGACCGGATCGGATCGCATACCATCGTCGGGATCTGTGTCAGAGTCCACCGCTCTACCTAGGATACATAAATTCTAGTCAGCCATCGGGCCTAGGATGGGCGCGCCTGAGATGGAGGAATCGCTCTTCCGTGGAAGGGAGAATGGCAATCCCCCGACTTAGACGCAATCAAATGAGGGACACATACGGAGCAACTGGTGCAATACATCGCCCACCACTTGACTAGCCATTGTACTTGGCGATTTGGCTTGTCGACGCGCACGATGGCAAACGGACGATTAACCCCAACGGCGAGTGTCTGGCGCCAGAGTGGAATCGCAGACACACATAATCATCCGCGGATCATGCACGATCCAACGGGAGGCAAGTACTCGGTGAGAACGGAAGCGAAAAAACCCGAGACGAGAAAAGAAGGGGAAAGGACAAAGAGAAAAGTAAATTCAAAGAGAAGAAGAAGGAGGAGGAGAAGGAGCAGAAGTCGTTGTACGATAAGGGTTAGAAGTTAGAATAGTTAAGGATGGAGGAGATTAAATTAGTAAGTGGAAGAAGACAGACAACGATAACTGGTGTTGTTGCTGTTGCTGTTGCTGTTGCTGCTAAGTTCCGGTTACTGCGGGCGGGCACTCAATCAGTCAGTCAGTCAATCAATCAATCAATCAGCTACGCAAGTACTCCGTAACTCCGGTAGGATTCGTCAACACCCGTCGGGGTCCCACCAACAATGTGTTCGGCCCGCAATTGATCCTCCGCTGGTATGTATGGAACGGTCTACTCTCTATCTCCCCCCCAGCACTTTTACTGTGATGATATGTTCCAACCTCTCAAGTATTATCAATAAGCGCTAACACCTAATTTCTAAATTGTTCTTGATGTTCTCTGACTAACTAGGGCTGACTACTTACATACCTGACTAATTACACTCTACTCTCATCGAAGACACTCTTCACTCTTACCCCGAGTCCTCTTCGGCATCTGGTAAAAGCGCCATTTGATCCTACTGTAAGGCATGCACTCACCGAGTTCCCTCAGCGAGTCTGTGAGCCAACCATGCCGCAACTAGCGTTGCGCAGCCTCCAAATCTCAGCACCCATCCAACACTATCGTCCCACGGCTCCCCGCGAGGTTTCTGGAAGGCCTTGAAGATGGCACTCGAGATCAGACTCGAGAGGATTTGAGGCGCCGACACGGCAACATTGTGAAGCCCCAGGATAATGCCCGCCTGCGCCAGATTCTCCTCCTCTTCCCCTTTATCAGTTGTCACATCGTGTCCGTGTTCTAGGTCTTCCCCAACTGTAGCCGGATTGGCCGAGACGCTTGTGTCGGGTACCGTCCCGTCAGCCCGCTGGCGTCGAAGCCGGCGCTCCGTGTCAATGCGCGATACCTCCGCCGAGATTAGGGCAAAGGGCGCCCAAAGCGTCAACGCCCATGAGATTCCAACAAGCCCAACAACCACGGTCGCCGCTTGGTATGACGATATGAAAAACGTACTGAACATACAGATGGCGAAGTTGACGTGCGACATTAACCAAGCGCGGCGGAGGGTGAGGCCTGGAATCTGTAATTTGGAGAGCCACCCGGCCCCTTCGGCATACCCATTTTTGGGTTCAGGAGAGATACCGGTAGGTGCTTCCATCGCAGTCCCTATTGAGGATGATCGCCTCCGACCGCCGAGGAAAGGCTCCTCCTCCAGTTGATCATCCGAAACTTCAGACTCGGTGGCAACGATCGGCTTGTATGTGGGCACAACAAGCATCGGCAGGGTCAGATTAGCCACAAAGGAGATGATGGCGTAAACAAGAAGTGCAAATGTCCCAATGCGGGTGGCTTCTTCCCATGCCTTGTTGATGTCATGCTCTGATAAACCTGGGTGTGCTTCGAAGATCGGATTGACAAAAAGCTGTCCAATGTATGTGGTCGAGTAAAACAGGAAAGGAAACCAGCCGACCCAAGCGGCTAGCTGGACCTCGCAGACCTTTGCTATCTCGGGCGGTAGAAATCGGATCGACTTGAAGACCTGCTTGAAGAAGGCGATCAAGCCAGGGTTCCCCCCGGATGGAGGTCCTTCCAGTCGTGGATCTCGTTCTTTGATGTATGAACAACTGACCAACAACGTACAGATAAGTGATAGTGATGCTAAAGCGCACAGCACCTTAAATTGCGTGTTGCCCAATAATGGGAAGTACTTGGGCAAGTCCACGTATCCAAAAATATATCCAAGGATGTTGCCTAGACCAGTCATGCGACTGGCCCACGCATTCGCTGATTCCTGCTGGTGTGAGGGCGCATTGTCAACAATGAAGCACCGGATACCTGCTTGGACTGTAGCCAAAATCCCGTCAGCATTCTCCGCGATCAAGCCACACGAGGGCAACATCTGGCCAGGCCTTACCAGTATTTACAGAAAAGTCCAAGCAATACATCAAGATAGTGGCTAGCACAATAACCACTGTTTGAGACGCATCGGAGCCCGGCGCAACATCGAATACTCCAAGGAGACCTTCTGTGAGCTCTCGGACCCAAGCTAAGGCAAGGAGGGAGACAACGCTCGCAGCACCGCCGACCACCATGAACGGCTTTCGCTTCCCCCATGATATGCGGCAGTTGTCACTGCAGATGCCGATGTAGGGTTGAACGAGGGTTCCTGTCAAAGGACCGGCGATCCAAACGAAAGCAAGTAGAGCTTTGCTCATTCCAAGAGACAAAAGATAGGGCTACAGTCACCCCCTTGAGATTAGTCCAAGCAGGATCATGCGACGGGACCTTGCGAGCTTACCGATCCATTGGATAGCTCAGTAGACCATACGACCTGAAGACTGAGACAGTGGATATAGCTATCAGCTTTCCGGCTGCTGTGGGAAGCAGACTCATGCTTCCAAATGGAGGAGGTTTAGTGCTCACCCGCCAATACTCAAGGTCAACAAGAACAGATACCAGCTGCTCTTGGTCTCCGAGAGATCGGGAGTATCTCCCGATCCAGTGGTTGCACTTGATTCTCCGGAGTGCGTCATTGAAGTCACTTCATTCCTGTCAGCTGCTCCCACCAAAGGGGACGTTTCATTGGCAAACCGATGATGTGCTTCCGGCATTGAAATAATGTTCTCAAAGGTGTTCCCTCAAGGATAAGCTAGCAGATGCAACTTTGCGCTGATGTGCTTAGGCTATAGTCCAGTCCGTTGGTAATCTTCTAAAGATGACCAGGGTATCAACCGTTGAGGTAGAGGCGACCACGCTTCGTATGGACGAAGTGGGAAGACAGTGTTGTCAGAGGTGATACAGCCGAACGCGTCGAAGCAGCCGGGGGGAGAAAGTTAGAGCCAAGTCACTGCGTCTAGATGATTTCCTTGCTCCAAGCTCAGGCAAGTGTAGCTCTAAACGAGGTCGGACGGAGGCTATAGAGGCAACGCGGGTTGGAGCAGGCAGAACCAGAATATTTACTGAAGTGGAGTTTTAAATGAGAATGATTCAGTCCTGATATCGATCCATGACTGCATGAGACTGTCGAGGATATCTAAATAATGGGAGCCAGCTCCAAGGGTAAGGAGATGAGATGATGATGAACAGCAAGCATGTCATGTGTCCGTCGCGCCTCGCTTCTTCTTGGTAAGGTTGGGTCGACGTCAGCAGGCCACGCACGTGACCGAGCCACGATTGATTCCCGTTTAGTCCGGGGAAAAGCAATCCATCCATTCATGAAACAGATCGTGGATGGAGCCTACGGGATGGTTGAAGGTCGTCTGACTGGGGCAAATTTCATTACCATTGGATTCATATCTATATGCATGTATTTCGCCAGAACACTCCTGCCACAGTCACAAGTTCCACCTTTTCCTTTCCCATTTATGGCGACTCCATGTTTCGGATCCAGGATACCCGGGCTTTTCAGCCCAAACGCGCCGGATTGGTCGCCCGATAAACCTCCCATAGTCATAGCTTTTTGGAGCTGGGAACCCAATTTTTGTCTTAACCTGCGTCTTCGAGGTTGCCATTTCCCACCTACCCTTATTTGATCGAAATGCAGGCAAAGGAAGTGGCAGGATCATGAGAAAAGAAGATGTCAAAGAGAAAGGGGATAGGGGGGAAAAAAAGAAAAAGAAAATGATACAAGAGATTCCCATTATCAACATAACACATGAGGAAGAAACAGAACCAGAGACCGAACCAAAGCGCAGAGGACAAGCGGGGAGGGGGAAGAAAAGAAAAAGAAAACCGATTGTGATGGGAATTTACCAGCGTAGTCCACAATCGCAAATGTCGATGTCGCTTATTAGGGATAAGTAAATCCAGCGCGATCGTGAAGACAGACACAGGGAAGCTGTTGCTCGTCCATGCCAGGGTATTGCCAGGGTATCGCTGTGACTGTCGAACAAATGACAGGCCTAAAGACAAAAAGCCACTACAATAGCCAGGGATAGTTCGAGGAATATCTCTGGGATGTGGCATAATCAATGAGGGTCTACCAGGTCAAACACAAATTTGATAGGTCATCCAGAAACAGGCAGTATGAACATAGGACCCGCATGAGCCAGGTCCGAAAGAAGTCGGCATAATATGACGGAAGATCAAGGTATGTGATCCGCAGAGTATATGCGATATAAAAAAGGTCGAGATGGTTCAGGCAATTCGGAAGAATATCAAGCTCCTCAGATCTGTTGTTGCAAGAGTTGGGGCGCGATCATATGAGGAGCCATCATGCTGGGCATAGAAGCCGGCAAGGTCATTGCAGATGGCATTGTGGTCACACTAGAGACGACAGCACTTGGCATCGAGTCGGACGGCGAGGATCCCTCGTCTTGGGAGCCAAATCCGTTCTCCTCGTTCTCAAGGTCATCATCCGGCACAGAGACTGGCGGCTGACCATCTTGCTGAGCCTCATGAATACGACGGTGTCTGGTTTACAATATTAGTCAACAATAATACTAGAATAATATACAAGGAAGACTTACTGTGCAAGGTTGTCCGACCGGGAAAAGGCCTTATTGCAGTAGGGACAGGGATAAGGTCGCTCTTGAGTGTGAGTCCTCACATGTCTAAGCATCAGATGTCAGTAAGTAGCTACAGGAGCCGTGCTGGCATATAGCCGTAGCGGACAGGATAACCAGATAGATATGATGACTAACCTCTTCAGATGTTCTAGTCTCTTGAACAGCCGTCCACATGATGGGATCGGACAAGAGTGCGATTTCTGTGGATAGGGGCCAAGTTCCATCATGGTAGCGCTCCGAGCCCGGCGAACAGGCCCAGGGGCATATCGTTCGACTTTGCTTCCCGCACTGTGCTGGGCGGGAATGTCGAGCGACTCGCCGTCTGGAAGAGGAGCAAGTTCATCTGTACCATTCGTGGGATGCATGACATGCGACTCGGGAGTTTCATCCAAGCTCGACAAGGGAGTGCTATGGCGCGACATCTCATGTAACAAGTTCTTCTGTGGAAGATGCGCCGCACGATAACCACTGAGGGACCGGTGGATGTCGTGATGCGAATCATCTGCTGCCTCTGGAATAGGGGCCACGGAGCTGGACACAGACCGCCGAAGGTCACTTGGCCGATGGGCGGCATAAGTGACAGCTTGGGGTTGCGGGGCCGTAACCTGCGGGTGCATAGTAGCAGCAGCACTGGTGACGCCTGGAGGGATAGAGGACCGCCGCCGACGCTGCTTGTATGTCGGTGAGCCCTCTAGCATGGAATAGACATTTGAGGGGAAGGATCTAGCCGGGGTCGGGAAGTGAGCACTTGTGAAATTCGAAGGAGGAAGCTGCATCATCGGATGGAAAGGTGCTGCCGAGGAGATATCAGGGATAGCGGTGTAGAGACCGGTATCTTCGTTGGCGATGTAGGCTGGTTCGGCGCCAAGGTGACCGTGCTGCGGAGGCGTGACTGGTTCAAACGATAGACCCCGATTGGAATAATCCTCGTACTGCGAGGACACGAAGGACGGAGCCGGGGAGTATTCGACGAAGGTTGGCATTGAGGCATGACGCTGGTGGATGCGAGCAATCGGCATTCCGTTGCGATCGTACTGGATCTGCCCATACTCTGCTTCACGTTTAATAACGTTTTGGGCTAGAGTCGTAGGCATGGGGATCGGGTTGTACATCGCCGGGTTGCCGGACTCGTCCGGGAGAAGGGGTAGCGCCGGGGGAGCCATTTGGGGAGCCATCTGAGGAGGAGGCATAGCGTCAACGGTCCGAACCACTGGGGATGCAGGTTGGCCATATGTCGTACTTGCGTGAGCAGCAAATGATGATGAATTCGCTTGTTGTGCCTTTGTGAGCTGTTCATACAAGGACTGCGATGAATCAAACTCGAAAGACAGAGCAGGCTCGCTGACTGCAACTGTGGTCGCCTCCTGGCCCATCTTCTCGCGCTTCAGATCACGCTCCAACGCATCGAGGAAAAGGCGGTCGTGAGGCACGCTGTACCAATAGAATACCTTCTGTTTCTTCTGAGTGCGAATGCAGTTGTTCTTGTACAGGAAGTCGAGGAATGGGCTCTTGGGTTCTTCGAGCGTGGCATCAGTTCCGGCCTTGAGGTTCCGCAAATCCGAGAAGATACCCTCCTCGAACTTCTTCGAGTTTTTGACCGGGCGACCGAAGGCTTGGAATCGAAAGGCCAGACATCTCACGATATCCGTACCCGAGATGTGGAAGAGGTTATTCCTGTCACCAATCAGCGTGTGCGTCCTTCCCTAACAATCGTTTCTTCTACTCCAAACTAACCAGAGAACACATGATATGTAGTCGCCTGTCGGGAGCAGGAACCTGCGAATGAGTTGATCCGTATGCCAGTCTACGGGCGCTGAGAGAAGGAAATATTTGACTGGGGAGAGGCGGCACAAGGTCAGCTTCTAGAGTGGCGATGGGAAAACAAGCCCAGGATAGTGTTGCAGTGGCATGATATAGAACTTACGATTGTCAACCTGCTGCAGTGCGACTTGCGCATCATGAGGAAGGCTTTGCTGGGCTTCGTTTGAGAGCATGAAAGTCTCCGGCTTCTGGGGAGGCGCCATAGGGGCACCATGTTGAGGATACATTTTGAATGTGATACAGTGGTCTGGTGAGAATTCCATCAGCCCGAGTCGACATGCGAAGTTTGTATGCATGTGCGCAAACAAAGAGTCATGGTGGACGGGATGTTAAACATAGCCACCGTTGGGCCGAACAAGGAAGACGCACCGCCAAATGAACCTGATCAAAGTAAAAGCGGATGGACCGCACGCAATCACCAGAGGTGACTTTCCGCTAGAGAGAGAGAAAAGGACCCGGAGAAGTGAATTGATATTGTGGGTAGTTTGGATGTATGTCGACGATAAATTGTGAAACAGGTGAGATCCAAACACGCGATCTGAAGAAAAGAGTACCAGCCTCTTGAGTACGATGCGTTGTTGTTGTTGTCGTCTTCGATTAGGCGCTGACGTTGCCGGCCCCTCGTCCAAACGGGTAAGAAAAGGGCGAAGAGAAAAAGAGAGCAATGGAGAGTTGAACTGGGCCAGCCCGATTACAAGTCTCTTAGAATAACTCGCACGGCGAAGGGGTGGGGGATGGAATTGAAACGAAAGGAGGTGAAAAGAAGAAAGAGGCAAGTCGTGATGGGAGGAAGAGAGGGGGAGGGGAAAGGAAGAAGAAGAGGAAGAGGAGGAGAAAGAGGAAGAGGGAGATGAGAATTGAGGTAGGACTTGCTTTTTTACAGTGGTGTGGTTGGAGAAAAGAGGTCGTAGGTAAGAAGGTATAGGTTTAGGTATGTCAGCCCAGCAGTAAGTAGTAATAATAACGCCAATCGATAATAATAAATAATAATGGGGAGGGGGGCAATAAGAAAAGGGAAAAATAAAAGAGAATAAAAATAAATAAGAATATTCAGCAAAAAAAGAAAGACCGAGAAAATCCCAAGGGCAAAAAAAAGGAAAAGAGGGAAAAATCGGCGTCAGAACTGGGAAGAAGGAATTCAGGGAGCGCCGACCGAGACCCGCGGATCAAGTCTACTCTCAGTGCTCAGTACGGACTACGGAGTAGACAACACTAACAGACCGTGAGTACTGAGCACTGCACTACTCAGCAAATTACTAATTACCTAGCTACTTACTCAGAAAGAGGCCATTCTGCTCTGTATAGAACGTAAAGAAGCCAAAGCTTGAACATTGATGCTATTGAGGTAGGCCTCTACCTCGGCGCATCTGGTCAAGAGTATCACACTTTCATACACATACAATACACAAAAAAAAACACACATAACCCCTCCCTCCTTCCCTCTCTCTTTCTTTTCTCCTTAACGCCTTGTCAATCCTATTGTCCTAGACCTTCTTAATTGACTCTCGAAGTGGTTAGACACCAGGAAACGCGCACGGCGAAGAAGTAGGGCTTCGACGGTTCGACCTAGGCACAAGCGGAGACTGGCGCCAGGGACCGGCTCCAGAAGTCAAGGGAAGCACTACGGAGAGGGCTACTCTTCTGAGATCCTAAAGATCCAGCAGTACGTAGTAGGAGTAGTAGTGCCTTAGTCATTACTCTGTACCGTTTCTCAATTAAGCTTCCCCTTTCCACCATTCTCATCCGAGTCCAAAAATATCCTCCCAATGACGCTACCAATATCACAACGCTTGAAGAAGCACCAAGAGGTGGGGTTGAACTTTGTGAAGGGGAGAGAGTCGGAGAGGGAGAGAGAGGGGAAGTTTACGGAGAGTTAACTTTCATTGTTGGGCGGGCACCCGGGCGGTAAGATACCAGTAACCACGGTATTGGTACAGTCTATCCACTATCCACCATTCTTCCACCTTCAGGGGAGACTGCTGAACCCCAATGACAACAAACGTAAGTCAAGAAGGTGTGGGGCATCTCTCCATCCATTATTCAATCAATCAATTCTCTTGACCCGTTCTGGCTTCTGCCCTTAAGGGCCCCACCACTGTTGACTGACTGGGAAGCATCCTGGATTATTATTGTTGTCATGGCTGGAGTCCATCTCTTCTCTCGGATTAGTGAATTCAGCACTACCAAGTAACTTAGCAACTCCAATGTTCTCGACTTCCTTATGACGAGCAAACAGGCCTCGTATTCGCTGGTTCCTATTAGTCGGCCAACGGAGAGCCAACTCAGGGGTAACAGGCTGAACATACAAAGAGCAGTGATCAAAGAATGGCAGATATCAACCCAGTCTGTGGTAGGCTTATGAGCTTCTTACTCCTAGCAATGGCTTATGTCCGAGAGATTGTAGACTGCATACTCCGAACTCGAAGTACGCATCACAAGTCACGGGTACTAGAAGTGGGGGAAGCTAAACCGCCTACTTACCCTGTATATATGAGGGGAAGACCTGATCTTGATACCTCATCTCGCTACCGAGTAAGAGTTATGGGGAAAGCACCGCTTATCAAAACAGCAAGCACGGAATTGTTTGTGTATAGTAGTGTATGTACATCCATATATTTACCGTGCAGTCTTCAGAGATTATGGGTTGGTCATCGAGGGAAAACCAAGCTTGTGTGGATGATATGTCCACAAACATGCATAACTAACTGCTTCTGCATCAATCAACCTTTCTTGGGGGCGCTTCCTGGGGGGCCAATTCCAGCATTTCCTGCCTCATCACCTCTGCCTCTCTTTCCCCCTTTCGGTCCCCACACGCAGCCAACTGTTCACCGCGGCGGCTAAGGTGACTGACGGACTCTCAGGGCAGGACAACAAACATGCTGCTACTACGTAGTAGGTACCTAAAGTACAGTCCAGTACCTCTATAGCTAGCTAGCTGCAAACAGTCGAGGGAGCAATCATCCAACGGCGCTGCTGCACAGGGTGGAACCAAAAGTCCATGCCAAGCCCAGACAAGACTGCACTGCACACACTCGCACCCCCCCTTCCCCCCCCCCCCGATAAAACTGGCGCGGGAAACAATCGTGAAGCATTCGCCCCCTTGTTTCAGGGTGAGCGCTTATCTTCCCACCAATGGCAGGCAAGGTGTAATCCCTTTGGCCCGCACGGCTACTGCTTGCGATGCTCGTCTCAGCCTCTTAGTGGCCCCAATCCAGAATGAGAAAATCTCCATGGCCTCAGTGGATGATGGGATTGAGCCAGGCGGCTTCAGGTTCAAGGTTCCAAGTTCCTGCCTCCACCTCCACCACCTTCTTCCAGTCCTGCTCCTCACAGACTGGATTTGATTTCGGTCCGTGCCCTTGCCTACCCTGCCGTGCCCTGACTTCCTCCACCTTGCCCTTCTCTTCCCCTCCCAACCCGCCTCCCCCCGGCTGTAAATAGCATTTGTACTGCAAAGTACACTATAGTTAGCCCGTGAATTATCTCCATTCGGTTATGTTATGTGATGCGATGTTATAGCTCAGCAAATAATGGCAGTGCTGTGACACGGTCAATGCTCATCATCATCATCATCATCATCATCATCATCATCGTTGTCGGTGATCATCTATCTGCCGGTATCTGACTGCCACCCTTCAGAGCTAGTATGTACTGTACTGTACTGGTAGTCGGACATTTTTCATGCACAATGCAGAGTTATCTGCGGGCATCCGAGCAGGCAGAAAAGGAAGGACTACTCTCGCTTATGTTTGGATTGCATCTGGAAATAGTTCTTACGTGAACTCGGGATTGGGGGCAATAGAACATTGTTGGGGTCTCGTAGAGTCGATCGACTGTCCACAGTACAGTACATCGACGAGTTTGTCTCTCCTATTGATTGCCCCATCTTCCATGGGGTGCTGATTTCCTCAACTCAGTAGGTCTGCGATGGTCTAATCTCCCTAAACTTGCATGGACCCCATGCTGTAATTATAGCAACTTAAGGGCCAGGTTCTTGAACGGTCCATCTCCTGGTACTCGTCCATATATGGACCAAACGGCAGCGCCAAATGACGCCACTTATGATTGAACCGGGCTCGTAAGAGTAGTAAGTACCATAGCTAAAGCTATCTTCTTGTCTCTGTCTCTTCCTTCATCCTTTTTTCGAGGTGATCAATCATCAAGGCAAACCGATGTCGCGTCTTTGAGGAGGAGAAGATCAGAGGCCTAGAAGGGCTACCATACAACCCGCGCACACTCTCAGGTCGGCTATCAGGCCATAATCGCAGGGGATTTCCTAGAACATGGAATGTATAATATTTGGGCTCCGCGCATCGTAATAAAGTGCACTGCCGTTAACCTCATATACCAGCAGTCGATCCTACGGGGTAGTTTGATTAAAATTGACATACCATAGGGTATTAGAGGGGAGATGGGGCGTGATCCAAGCTCATTTTTGAGACACATAAGTTTGGTCCGTGTGCGACCTGCCCGTACCATGCGCATAAGGCTGTAATCACATGGGTTGTAAGCTATATACCACTGGAGTTTTCCAAGTTCTCGGCTCATTCGTTCTGTGCACTCATGATTTTCGCAAGTCGAAGCCGAAGACCGACACGCCCGGCTATCGGAATTGGGTTTCCAATCATCCTCTTACTGTCCGATTTATCATCGACCAGGTGAGCGGAAAGTCGATCAAGCATAGCTTGCAGAGTCTAAGAAGAATACGTTTCGTTCTTTGTTCTTTTTCATGTCACTTGGAACCAGAACATCATCGTCTGAAGCACGACGTTGGATGTCGTGAACATCAACGGAGACTGATCTGCACAACCGAAAGATTGACCGGCAAACGGCGAAGCTTAATCACAGAGCACTCTGATTTGGCCATCTGAATTGGTGGTCATTTCCGAGATATGTGATAGATCAATGTTTGGCTTTGAGCTTTGTCATCGTACATGATCTGTTTGGAGAAGTGACTTGATATACATCACGGGGGGCAGACAAAGGACTGTTCATGGTATTGTGGATGTATGCACTGTACGGGCCCAAATACATGAGTACTTTAGCTGGATTTACCGTCATAGTGCAGTACTGCTTCGTCCTCATTGGCTACTTTCTAATTATGTAAGCTTCGAGATCCATCTTTCCAGTCACCCCTAAGTTACCACTGCAGCCAGTCACTCCACTGACTCGGCCGAAGCGATCATCAATTGCACTTACACATACAAACGTACAGAGCATTGAGGGGGTACCGTGCTGCTGGGGTCAGAGTCCGTCAATCCAGGGGGGGATCTAGACAGACTTGATAACATCAAAGCGTTTTCATTGTCCGGGATCAGTGGCGAAAGAGTCAAAGACCCTTGGCTAATTAAGCTCACTATTGAAATTCTCCGATTACCCAGTGCTCAGGAGTCTAAAAGGCGGGTGTTGATTGCTACATTGGGAGATCACCGAGGTTGCAGACAAGCCCTATAGCGAACTACGTAGTACGTACACCATACACTCTTCGGGGTGTGCGGATAGTGCCAGATCTCCCGACGGGGAGAGAGGAGGCGAGGAGGATGAGTTCAGACTTCAGAGGGCGTACACCGTACGCGGGAGAAAGAGCCCTGCTTTTTGCGAAGCGACACAATGCGATGAAGGCGAGGTACTGTACTCCGTACGGGCCCAACGTAGGTATGGAGCAGTGGAGCGACGAGGAGGTCCTAGACTCCGAATCCTCCTAGTCTCCTAGCCTTTGCTAAAGTTGGGTTAGCGAAGAAGCTCTCCTGATGGATAAAATCCTTCTAGACCTTGAAAAGGTCGTTGCTACCAAACCCAATCCGGTAATTGTACCTGACTCCGAGGCCTTAGTAGTTACCGGGTTCTCGGCGGACGGGACTGGAACCATAAATTACCGCCGTCGTGGACCAAAACAACCCGCGCCCACTATGGATACTGTCTCCGTACAGCTACGGATCCTGTGGACTGTGGACTGTGGACTGTGGACTGTAAACATCGGTGCCCGGGACAAAATATTGATCTAACTATGTGCAGTACTCATAAGAATTCTAGGAAGATCTGGGCCTGCTCAGCGCAACGGAGTCTTTGTTTGATCGTCCAACCCCAAGAACCCATCTGGAAAAGTCCATCGACATCATGGATCCTGTCACTGCTTCGAGTACGAACATCTCGCCAGTCGCGACGAGGCTCACCCTCGGGTTTTGGAAGCTAAAGCCTACCATTACTCATATTTTATAGAGCGGATGGGTCAGCGCTTGGTCCATATTCAGGTAAGTTGCGAGATGCGGTATCTGCCTTCCGTTCTCGATTTAGAGCATTGACTGATCCAAAGATGAGGCTAGCGAGCCAGGCGCACAGTCAACACATCCTCGTATATGACTTGATATCTCGAGAACGTGGGTGGGGGGAACGAAGTCGAGGCGCACCTGCTGTTGGACTTGCGAAGTTGCTATGAGCATTTCATCAGGACAGTATACGGTACGATAACTACTCGCCAGACGACGTCATGGAAGGCCTGCTCCGGAAGCTATTTCGCCACGATACCATCCAGCAGCGCCTTCGTTCTTCAGGAGAGCTGTCTAGCTTGCTATCCCAAAGTTGGCATTGTTCCGTGGATCAGACGAGCAACGGAAAGCAGGTCGGCCTGTTGCCATCTTGGCCAGGCTAAGTGAGGGCCAAGCAACGTAGGACGGGGATATCGAATTACCTCACAGGGAAAATCGGATACGTCGGGCTGGGGCTGGCTGATCAGCGCCATTGTTCCCCCTTCGTGTAAACCTCGGCGTTGCAATGGACGGACCAGATTCCTTTCCACCACCACGGCTGGAGATCCGGCAGGTCAACCCGTGAAACCATCAGATTTCCCTCCCGTCCGTTGAGACTAGACCATGAATCAAGCCGGCTCCGGACTCGAACTAGCGATTACTCGATACATCGTTTGTATTGGTCCAAACGGACTTCAAGGACGATGAAGATGGTATAGAGTCACCTTGTAGCTAACCATTACGTATGCTTTGACATATCGCTGAACGCCGAAGTGCCCTTGGTATGTCTGTTGTGTCTTAGTTGATGGGTGGTATAGGTCAGGGTGGTAGGAAATCCGATACTATTTACTCGACTATCAAGAGCCTAAAAACCCAGAGTGGCCCGAGTCCGTTCTCTTTCTTTTTTTTTATTTTCTTTTCTTTTTTTTCTTGGTGGATCCCAGTGACGAAAAAGTGCCTGCGCCCAGTTACTCAGTAAAAAAATGCAACAATTACTTAGCTATCCTGACCCTTTCTGCTAGTTAACCTCCGTGCCATTTGACTTCTATAGTCATGGTAATAGAATTAGTAGCAGGAAGAAGGAGACACGTTCTC